TTTTAAAATATATACACATTTCAGTGTAAAGTTAATTCTAACTACAGCTTGATCATATACACAAAGTTCCATTATCACACATTTCAAAGCTGTGTACTATAATCATGGTGGCACTGCATTGGTTTTTTTGCTGCTCATTATAACATAGTTGTGAAACAGTAAAGATAGTTGTTCATGAAGTGATTTTCTGATGATAATGTGTAGTTTGAATAGCTGCAGACAATGCATAAGACATCACAGAGTGCAAGTTCAAAAAATGTAGAAGTGTCAATAGTACTATTACAGATCTAGGTTATTCTTTGTATATTACTTAGAAGTTATAGGTTATACAATTTCCATATTTTCTTTATATGGATATAGGAATAACTTAAATCTCCTAAGCTGACTGAACCTTGTGAGATCTTATTGGGATTATGGCCTCAAATATCACTAAGAGAGAGGATACCCAAATGATTAAACAATGCATTTTAATCTTTAGAAGTAAGAACATTAGAACAGTATATTTAATTAGCTTTTCTCATTACTAGGTATATTTTTACTTTTGGTCTACATAGATAGCTTGCTTTAATCAGAAATCAATATATTAATTGTGCTTCATGAAAACAGATATGCTAAAATAAGTGTCTTGCATACCTCTGAACTAAAACTAGAATCTGCAGACTTCAATAATTTTATTAATTTCTATATTGTCTGTAGAATATAGGGTGTTGATGTTGTCTTGTACTCTAAAAGGATAGGTTTACTTCACAGTAACATAGGACAACCATATAGTGTGGCTCACGTTATAGTTTTTCTAGTAATGGTTTTTTAGTTTTCAACATACAAATAGCATCTGAAGAAAAATGGATTGTTTTGAAGGTTCCGCATGCTGTGTTGAGAGAAAATATTACCAAGATGTATATTTCACATAAGTATTCAAATATTGGGGCATAGAACAAAAAAAAGGTAGCAAATTTTGATTACTTTTGTTTGTTCTCTGATTTGAAACAGTAATGATTGAGGGAACAAATTTTTTTTGTTTAAATGAAAACAGCCTTAGAAATATGTCTGTTACAGCTAGATGAACTGTTTAAATGTTTTGTTGATTTTATATAGTTTATGAAGAATTTGAGTATTTCCATCTCCTGAAACAACTTCAGCTTCACTTTGTCTTCTAAGTTCTCTCAGTTGTTAAAAGTAAAATTCATGAAACAGTGAAATTATTGGTTTATGATTTCTTTTCTGATAAAAGCTGGAATTTTTTTCAAAAGTTTAGACTCAGTTGATTTGTTTTCTGAATGATAAGTATAAAGGTTTGAATGGAAATGAATAATTTTAAAGAATACCTTAGGTGTTATTGCAAATTTTTCAAACAAAGCACGCCACTGTTATACTTTAATTTTTTTTCTTTCTCATAGTGGACATATTTAGCCAAATTGGATGAAACATAGTACAATCTTACTAAACAGTATGTAGTTTTAGCTCAAAAAATTCTCATTTGATTTAATTTTTCTGTCATTTCTGAGGTTGTGAATTTACCTAAATTTTGTGGTGACATATGGTTTGAAAAAAATCTTAAAACTATTTCCTTTCATATTAGAAGTTAATTTTCTTTATTGTGTTGAAATTTTCCATTTTATATATCCAGTCAATTTCAGCTTTTTTGGTATTCATTAACATATTTATTTTGATACTTTATTTAGTTGATTCTAATAGTCAATAAATTGTAAAAAACTGCAAAACTGACAAAGATTTATTGCTCACCTAGGATCTGTCCATTCTAAATGGCATTTCCATTACCTTTGTTAGGCTAGGTAACAGTATTTTTGGTACATATCACTTAATATCTAATAAATGTTTCTTTTCAATAAGTAGCAAGTTAGTTTATTTATGTGCATTATTTGGATACGATGAACTTAACTAACGAGTGGTCATGATAATTCCAAATTTTGCACTCTGGAAGCAAAATAAATCAGTTGGATGGAAAAACTTTCTGCATTCATGCGATGTATGAAAATGGTAAAGGTACACAATAATAAAAGTAAGATACATCTTAATCCTGTCCAGATCAGGAGGTTGTCACCACAGAAAATAACAAATATTTGATGACCCTTTCAATGAAAGTGGCCGAAATTGAACATTTCGACTAGTGAAGGCCTGAATCTTCATTACTGCAGATAGACACAAGTTCTGACTTTATATGTGCATGTGAGACACAATGTATTAGTACTCTTGAAAGGACTGGTGTAATCATAGCAGTGTTGTCCATCCAAACTTGTTGAATCATGTAAGCCTAAGTCAGAGATTTAAGCCTTCACTATCACTGTTTTATAGTTAAAAGTCAAACAACAGTAAATCAAATTAAACATATATTTTTATTATGTGATTTAGACATTATTAAATTACTATCTTTATATTGTGTATTGTTGGTGAGGTACCTCTGCATCTGAATCAGGGTATGGTGGGTAATTTTTTCTTCTGTAAAGTACATAACAACATTGCTATTGTGTTAGAGCTGTTTAATCTCTGATTTTCATAACTGATTTTTGATTAAATATGACTAAAAATAAAAAATCAAGATGATAACAGTGTTACTTGTTTTGCAATTTAGTTCCAAAAATTTAATTTTACAGTGATCATGAGAAGTTCTCCCAACAGATACAATCCAAACCTCGCTGCTCAGTATTTTTTTTTTTATGTAAGTGAAGAACTGAGAAATGAAAAATTTTAATGAAAGTTAGTTTTACAACTTGTATGAAATAATATTTTTCAAAATCAGTTATAAAATTCATCAATGTAATTTTTATGAAACTAGTAGTTCAAGTTACAAATCAAACTCAATTAAAGTATTCAAAATTTTAATAAATCTTTTTTTTTTTTCTGGTGAGCTACGTGAGCTGTTATCGGCTTTGAACAAGATATAGCTCAGATCTATATCTTTAACAAAGATAAATACTCATGATCATTCTGCAGGTGCTTCACTCATGTATGCAAACAGTGTGGAACACAAGGTTGGCATTTTGTAAAATCAGTGAGCAATATATTTGACATTTGGGTTGATGTGCTCATATATGAATTTATTGTCTAAGAACTTGCAGATAAATGAATTAATGGTGTAATTTATTACAGGGCATGCGACAAAGTATAAATCCTAACTTTCATTTTGAAAACTATCGGATTCAAGCTGAAGTGTCAGGGAGTTACATTTAGTCATATTTATGTGACTAAAAGTGGCAAAATTCCATTCATTTTGGGCAAACAAACAGTAGTATGTAAATGTAACTCTTGAAAGATAGAATACAATTTTTTGTAGTGTTTTGGAATGCTTGGAAGAAAAAAAAGCTAACACAACCACTGAATAACACTTAATAAATATGGATTTGACTCATCTAAATATTTTGCTGTTTCTTACCATATTTGCTATACCTAACAGCTTATCTGATCTATTTTCATAGGTAGAAGTTTCCATAACTCCTAAATAGTTATAATTTAACATTAAAATATTTTCAATGACAATTAGCATCTGTAGAGAAATTATTAACAAAAATTATCAAATCTGTGGTTTGTTCCTGATTCTCCTCAACTTCCAGTTAGAATCTTTTTCCATCCCTAGAGGAGTTGCAAATAGTTACTTTTCCACAAAATTATAAATTAGTGCTCGTAACACTTATTTACTTTACGTCAACTTAAATAGTTTTTAATATACTTCAAATGATCATATTTAAACATTGTCTGGAGGTATTTTCAAAGTTATGCTTCATCAGTAATTGTTCAGATCACATGCTGTGACATCATAAAGGGGTAGGAATGAAAGGTTTATATAAGTAGATGGTAACATTACACAAGATACAAGAACCTACAGTTGTATTTTCAAGGATGATGGTTTTTTAGAAATATATAAACCTGTGCTTTGAAATGAGCAGAAAAATTCTAAGAAAACAGATATGTGCATTGTTTACAGGTGAGACTTCAGAGCTGTGAAGAGATGACAGAAGTTTTTCAGTTTTCTTTGCAAATTATACTAGTTATGTTTCACAATATCACAAAATGTCAATTCTAAACAATTTTGGAGTTACAAAATTGTAAAAAAAAAAAAGTAATTATTTTTACTTACATTTTCAAATTTGATATTCAAACTCCAGGTTTGTATTGATGAGATTTAAGATTGCATTTAAAATTGAATTTCAATAGTGAAAAGAAATGTAATGTATTCTGTAGATAAGCAAAGTGATAAATTTACAAAAAAAATATGATACACAAGACAATTATTTAAATGCTGTGATACAAAAAAAAATGTATGAATTTTAACTTTTTTTTTTTGATTAAATAATAAAGTTTGTCAAGAATTATTATACTCTTCTATTTACTTTTCAGTAAAGTTATGATTAATCACTTGAAAATTTATTCGGTCTATCTAAACAAAAATGTTTTGTATTTTAGAATACTTTTACAATTAGTTTAGCAAAAACATGGAATACACTTCTGTAGTTTCCTTCATGGTAAAATAATTTTACCTGCCAAACTTTACAATCTGCCAAATGAGAATAATCTTGAAGGCGTCGGTATCTTGCTATTCAATAATTTATCATAAAACAGTTTCTGCGCTTGTATGGTATTATATTTTTTGCGATATGGGAGACAGAGTAAAAGAAATGTACTTAAGAAAGGCATTTAGTACATTTTTGTGGTCTAATTTTTTGTTTCTGTTTCTTATTTGTGGCATTACAGCTTGTAATTTTACTGCATGTCAGTTATGGCTTGTGATATACTGTAAAAATATCAGAACCTCGCGTTCTACTGATAGGTTGGGAATCGGTGTGTTTTAGTCTTTTTTGACATCTTGGTAAATGTTTAGGGTACTATGTTAAAAATTCTTTTTTCAGTATTACCTGTCTTAAAATGTTTTGATCTACTTTTAAGATTCACAGGTAGAGCAAAAGAAAAAGATTGAAATATATATTCTCAGGTTTTGATTGTTGACTTCTTTGACTTAGTTTTTTATTTCTAATTTTGTTGTAAAGGATGCTATTAAATATGAAAATGGACGTGAACTTCGCGGACAAAGTATTGTAGTGGAATGGGCCAGAGGACCGTCTTTTCGTCCATCCGTAAGTACCTAAATTTATAACAGATGTGTGATTTTTCAGTAGGTTTGCAGATTTGAGCATTTTTGCCTTTCTAACTCCTCACATCTTTAGAAAGTTTTGAGGAACATAGAATTATGAATTATAAATATTTTTCTGCTGCCATAAAAATATCCCCCTGGAACTAATGTATTAAGTTCCTTGGATTGTGAAAACTGCTTAGCTGTCCACTGGCATAAAATACACCAATATTAGGCAACATCAAAATAAACAAGTTACTGTAAGGTGTGTAATTTTTTGTGAAGTAGCCAGTCATGCCTCTTCTAAGTACAAAATTTGTAAAAAAGTTAAGCAAAATGTCTGTGTTTTGAATGTTTATAATCACTACTTAAAAATGTTACACATCAATTGAAAACAAGATTAAGTGGGAATAGTTTAGAAAAAAATAAGGTGATTGTGAAAGTGCATTTTAGGTGTTAAAAAAAATGCTGGATGTATATTTCGGCTACATTTGCAGAGGAACTCACTTCTGAAGAGTTACATGTCTGTTATTAGAATTCATTTATTTATGTGTACCAATACCAAATACACTTGCTATTTCCATTTTTTGACAGATTATGAATTTTTTTCAAATATAGTCTCTTTAATATACCATTACAAAATTAACTTTGCTAATAGTTTATTAGATAAAATAACTTGTGTATTATAAGTTATTTCCCTAGATATAAAGAGTATTGTAAAAGCAAATAGATATATTATGAAAGTTGTTTAACAGTTTAAACAAAAAAACAAAAACTATTAAATTGATTATTTGTAATGCATACTACTTGATATTCTGTATAGAAGTTCTTATTATTAAAAAAAATGTATTTCTATTTTCATTATTGGTACGTAACATACCCTCCAGACAAAATTTATATTTTTATTCTTAGTTTAGGATGATTAATTTACGCTTGTTTATTTCTTAAATCACTATTCATTTGATTGAAACAAATGTTTTTGACAGTGTGTGTAGGAAGTATACATGTTGTAAATTTTCTGGATTTCTAGTATCTAAACATGCATGTCCATCAACTTTATAATGTTAATACAGTTGTCTGACAACAGCTAGGTAGGAAATTGTTGTATACTTTAATATTGTGAATAACATTTGTATACAATTTAAATTCTTGCCAAATAGGTAAATATTGCTTTATTTTATCTTTTTTTCCCATCACACACATTAAAATTTTTGTTGATTTGGTAGTCTAAGAAAGTAATGGGAATACTCATAGCTTCTTTTTGCATTGTTTTGAAGTCTAATTTTCTGAAATTAGACATGATTAATATTAATAACTTTGTCAAAATGAAACTGGTATATATCTGCTGTATATTATAATAACTGATTCACCACTATGTGTCAGAAATTTGTTTATTAGGTTTTGCATAGATTATGACATTAAAAAGTGTAAAATACACCTCCCCCCAAAATTAATACTCAATTCAATTTGGGGTGTTTGAGTACACGAGTGAGGACTTAAGTTCATTTAGTACATGTATGTTCATAAACACTGATAACACAGACTGAATTGTTTATGTGTTTAGTATCTGTAAACATTTTGAAGTTGACTTACCTCTGTTATGGTTTACAATAGTTAAAAAAAAGGGGGGGATATAAAACATAATTTATAGTTGGGCTTTTATGGTAATTGTGTGAAAGCAAAAGTAGTAAATTTTTTCTTATGATTATATCTCACTAAATTACTTGCCTGAGGTTTTACCCAAACAGAATTGTAATGAACTAGACATGTTAGCCTAAAATGTATGTAATAAATTGATGGTGGTAGTAAATTTTTTCTATGACCGTTTGAAAGATTCTTAGAATTGGATCTTCTGGAATTTTTAAAAGCAAGCTTAACAAAGTGAATTCATATGTAAAGCTCATAAATATTTCTAAAAGAATAAGAGAAATGATAAAAACAAAAGGTGATTTGGTGATTTTTTCTTTTTAGAGTCATGCTATGAAATCTGGGGGAGGACGTTCACGTTCAGTAAGTTAAATATTTGTTTTTTTTTTTAGTGAAGGTTTTAGGTTTTAGATGTATGTAAGAAAACTATTAACCCTCTCACTATGGGTCTTTCTATGGTCAGGGGTCAAAGAACATGTCATCACATTTGTAGACTACATTCAAAATTTTATTGAACTATTATTTTATGAATTTATGTCAATAAGTTTGGTATCAAATTGTAAATTATAATTCAAATTTTAGAATATCTTAATTTAAAAGTAAATATTAAATAAGAAATCCTAAATATTAGTTTTTGTGTGTCACTTGTTACTTGGTATATTGAATGTAGCTTTGATTCAAATTGGATGTTTGTAATGTTCAAATACAAAGTCTATAGTTTCTTGTGAATTAAAAACTCAAATTACTGATATTGACAAGCTATAATATAAAATAAGAATCTCCTATGTTTTCTGTTTCCTGAGTTATCATTATATTTAGCGAATCCACCACAGTGGCTCTGCCCACCTCTTCCTCTTTTGAAAATTCTATGCCTACTTCTCTCAATTACATGTTTTACTCATTCAAAAGTGCTCATTTTGAATTAAGTAATTTTGCCAATCTTCCTAAGTATTTATACAAGTAAAACTGTCATTAGCTTTGCTGTTTGGAGGATGTTGCTCAAGGTCGTATGCTAATCAGAAATGAGATTTTTTAGACCTAAAAACAGTATTGATATCGTAAGTTAGTTTTTATTTTAAAATGCATGTATAAAACCTACAAAAGAAATTTTTATTTACATCATACAGATGTGAAATTTGACAAGGCTTGACAAGTACAAAGCATAAGTATAAAAAAGAAAATTAACATCATATATTGTAGAGATCATTGTTTTCTGTATATTTTTTATTTACTCTTCTATGTTTTTAGAAAAATAACTGAATTTTAAGAATTTATTTGAAAACAGTAATACACACACATACACATTTAATGTAACTGAAATGTAATTGTATCTTACCAAATACTGGTATGCTAATACTAAGAACAGAAAGGTATTTGTATTTTGTAAAGGCCAGTTTTATTCTATTTTATATAATAATGTGTGCTGTATAGCTTACATCTTGTGTAGCAGTATATTAGTTAGACACACGATTCAAAGATCAATAAAACAAATAAATTGGTAAATATAAATAGATGTATACTGTTACAAGATTTAAGCTATTTAGAATAAACATTTGTGGCTTTCTGTTACAATCTGCAGTCATTCTAGAATGATAAAAAGGGTAACTTAGATTTGTTTCCTAATTGTATATGACGGTTACGAGGTCGGTCAAGTTGACCAACTCCATATAGAGTTACGGAAGAGAAAATAACATATGAAATATAAAGTTTTTCTGAAAAAAGTTTGATAGTTATCTAGTAGGTTATAGAAATGACACAAATGAAATTTGACAATTTTCAGATGAAGAAAAGTATTTTTAATCTTAATATCAAAATTATTTTGCATGTTGGATAGTCAACATTCTGAAAGAAAAAAATTCACGAGGAAATATTTAATTAAAACAAGTCAGTTATTTTGTTTAAGAAAGCCTTGTAATATTTATTGATAATCTGTGAAATTTTGGAAAGATATGCATACATTATCAAAGTTACTACTCTCATGGTGGTTATGAGCTGGGTGCAGTACACTCAGCTCGTAATGAACAAGTTAAATAACATTTGTCATTAGGGTGTAGAATGTCACAGCTGGTGATGCATGACATCATAAACTTATTAGTAAACATTAGTCTTTATTGATTTAGTGGATGCAGTTGTGTGCATTTCTTCTCTATCATGGTTTGAATAATGAAAATACTAGTTTCTATTTCATTTGAGAAGGAAGGATCTCCCTTGGTTACTAGTTTATTCTTAAGAGGTTAATTGATAGTTTTTGCTTTGCTTCTGGTGTTCAGATAAAGCAGTTTTGTTTTTCTGTATTATTCACTTTTATTATCATTTCTATGCCAGCCATCTATTTGTAAATTCTTACTTTTATTTCTTTCCTTCTCACTTCATAGTTAGTTTTCCTTTTTTCTTTGTTTGATTTCCAGTTTTAAGTTGCTGGGTGTTTTGTGTATTCCAAGTCAACGATCCATTCTCTAATCTTGTTTTATCTTCTACCTGTCCAGTTGTGGCATTACTTAAAGAAAGAAAACTAAGGATGGGAAGTTGTAAGTCTTGAATGTTGAAAATCTACATTGTGGGTCTTTTATGTTATATTAACAGGTGTTCAAAATGTTGTTGTCTGGCAGATTTAGGTCATAATATTTTTGCCTTTAGCTAACTTAATACACATATATTGAAAATGCAAGTAATAACTTAAGCATTGAATATTGGATATGTCAGTATTTGAAATATGATTTTTATGTTGAATCTGATAAAAAAAAACTTTAGTATCTAGAAAATCTTTGGTATTAACCCTCTAAGTACAAGCATGGTCATTTATGACCAATCTATGACCACCATGTGACCTTAAAACTGTGATAGTGACTATATATTTATAAACATATTATGATGCTGACTTTGAATTTACTAAGTGTATCTTCACAAAATTTGGCAAGCTTTTAGTAAATGTAACAGTTCTATTGTTCACAGAAGAATTAGAATTTTGGATGAAATATTTATATTAAGAATTTGTCTGTGAATTTCCAGTCTTTAATGAGTCAATCTGATTTTAATACTAAGAATAAAAATACTTCTTTTTATCTTATTGTTTTCGTATTTCACTTGCATAATTTCTAGAATCTCTTATTTCTCTTAATACGGCCTCGGTCAACTTGACCGACCACATGACCTCTTTATAGTTATTTAAAGTCTTTAGAGATTTAATACTTCTAACTTTCTATAGAGTGTGTATATTTTCACAATATTTGGCAGTCTTTTGATTAATATTATAATACTTTCACATACAGAAAATCTTATTTTTATTGAAGTATTAAAATAAAATATAGATTTGACCAAGAATATATTGAGTATTTGTTTTGAATAGTCCATTTGCAAAGTAATTTTCATGCTCTAAAATTAAAATACTTTTCCTCATTTCAAAAATCTCAAATTTCCTTTGTGTAATCCCTAAAACCTTCTAAATGCATTTTAAACGTTTATTTTTTTCAGTAAAACTTTATAGTTTATCTGTTATTTTTCTCTACCCTATCTCAAAACAGAATCGGTCAGTTCGACTGACCTCATAACCACCAAAGAAAAAAAAATTAAATAAATC